AACAATTAATAAGATAAACATACACAGAAGTACTTCCCCTATCATCTCCTCTTTTCTGTCTAAAATAAAAAGAAGGGTAACTCATCTTTTATAATAACTGAATAAAACTATAACCATAACTATCTGTCTTCAACTCTATCAAAGACCACAGAAGGAAAATATATAAACTCTAGAATTGACAGAAACATCTGCTACCTGGACAGTCACCCAAAGTTCCTCTGTAACACTGGGGCATCCATCTTCCGCCCATAGGCCACAGTGTGTCTGGCACATTTCTCCATTTCAGCAGGAACCCTTCAGTACTGTCTTGTTTTGTAAGTTCAGCAGTCACTTTTTTGTGGGTCCTGTATGTCCAGTTTATACAGCAACAAACAGTCCAGGCAAGAGCAGTTTCTGGCCCAAATGGCTAATCTTGCCATGTTGAAAGCAAACTCCATAATGAGTTTCTTTGATGCCCATACCTCCTTCTGAGGTAAATGGTGTGCCAGGAGCAGTTGTGTCTTACTGCCAGGAAAAACCCTAAACCATTTAAATGCCATATTTCTGTAGGTCATTGAAAGGTTTGAAGAATACCCAATCATGTTCCCACAGTTTTTAAGGGTGTTTGACCTAGAAAGGAGTTTATAAATTGTTTGGGCTTCAAGTTTTTTTAAAGATTTTTATTTATTTATTATGTATACAACACTTTGCTTCCATGTATATCTGCACACCAGAAGAGGGCACCAGATCTCATAACGGATGGTTGTGAGCCACTATGTGGTTGCTGGGAATTGAACTCAGGACCTCTGGAAAAGCAGTCAGTGCTCTTAACCTCTGAGCCATCTCTCCAGCCCTTTAGGCTTCAAGTTTAAAAAAATATGGCTCTGCCTCTGGGTATGAGGGAAAGAAGAGCACAGGAAGACATATTCACCCCCCCATTTTTATTTTTGAAATCTTATCAATGGTTATTTCTGGGTCTTATTACTCTAGAACTGTAGCCATGACACAAAGTACATAAGTTATACATCTGTCACGTAGCTTATAACACCCAGCTGGTCACACAAATAAAACAATTCCTTTCCTGCTTTGCCCATCTCTTGTTATTCCCACAAGTATTGTGGTGCTCCAGCAACTGCCATGCTTCCCTTTGCCATCTTCCACAACCTAAATTTGAATATTTCCTTTTTACTATGCTTTGTTTATTCCACTGGTCCCCATAAAACTGACTAAATACTAAATACAAGCTATCATACATTCACGACTTCAAAGAAAGGTTAACTATTCTATTTTTCTCTCTTTTTTGATTTCTCAAATTTTCTAGAAAAGGGATTCTTACAGACCCTCTTGTATGAAAAATCACACCCATGGAAGGAGAATGGCATTGGTGAAGCCATGTTGAGATTAACAGTGCTGTGTGCACAGAACTAGTAGAAAGAAATTGAAACTTAAAGGGTACATCTGCAGGTATACAGAACCTTTATATTCCAATCTAAGGATATTTTTCATGTGTGCCTCATAGTCCATTTTGGATCTGTGTGAAAGAATGTATGACCTCACAAGCAGTATTTAGTCTCATGGAATCATGTAGTGTAAGAGCCAGAAAGGACATTAGAGATCATAATCCAGTGACTTCATGTTACAAAATGGTCACTGGCACTAAATGAGCTGGGCAAAATCACAAATGTGGTTGCAGTTGCCTCAAGGACTATAATCCATGTAAACTAATAACTAAAGTAACCAACAACATGCTCTGTTTGATAGTAGCAGTAAATCCAACTACTTAGAGTCATAGCTGTTGAGAAGTGTGGGCAGCCATTTCCAAGAATAAATGAAGAAAATAAAATAGCCACTTAAATAGGAGAATGTATTGTAGTTACCACTCAAGTTGAAAAAACTATTTAGCTATGGGACAATAGGCATCTATTGCATTGTGGAAGAACTTAAGTTATGGGAAGTAAAAATAAACGCCTGGAAAACATTATTTTATAAACTATGTGATCTCAGGAGCTACACCAGGGAGCTGGATAAAAAATTGAAAATTACAAGGTTTTACTATAAGATCAGCATGTCTAAATGCAAGGCCAGGTAGTGGAGACTCAATACGTGTCTGAGTTGATAGTTAAAAATGCAACTTTTGATTTTAGTTCTATTAGCAATCTAAAAATGTTGTGGGATGACAAGAATGGTGTGCTATGTATTTCAGAAAGCTAGATTAAAGGATATCAAATAGATTATTGAGGGAATAGACATGTTTATTCAACATGTGTATATATATACATATATATATATATATAATAACTATCAACTTACTTGCATATTTGTATGTGTTTCTATATCAGTTAAAATTCAAGCCAAAGAATTGTAGACTCTAAGTCAGCTGAGATACAAAGAAAATCTGGTTGTAAGGCAAGAGCCTTTCTCAAAACAAACAACTACAACATCGTTGAAAATTGATATCATAAAACTAAAGAGATAATATAAATAATATCATATAATAGATTTTGAACACAGGAAAATGAATATACAAGGTATGAGATAGAATAAGAACCCAAAAATTTCTTTATTCTTGTTCTAAATACATCCACTTTCAAACCTTGGATAAATGCTTTTGCTTTGGGAGCGCCTACTTACATTTATTTATATTATAATGATAAGCTGCTATAAGAGTTTTTAATCAGCAAGTGATATTATATAAACTTAGTTGCTGAACAGTAACTAGAAAAGCAAAACAAGTGTGGATATGGCAGATCAGTAACTAGATCATTGCAATAGTCCTAACAAGAAGGTTCTTAGAGGAATTGGAACTAAGTTGATTTATTTTGAGCTTTACTTTGGTAGGATCAGTAACAGATTGAATACAGGTAATCAGGGAGAGGAGTTAGTCAAG